TCTACGGTTCTACACCGGGATTGACTAAGCGAGTATGGCAAATGTTCTGAGTATTGATTTCAGGAAAATTAGACATCAAAATAATCAAGTCAGATTTCAAGGCTCTATCGTAGATTCTATGCCTACTCGATTACTCGAGAACGGTTGATTGGGCTCGACAAGGAATATGGAATGAAGCGATGGTCTACCCACCGAGATGGAATTTCTTGACTTCAATCCAAATTCTCGATTACAGCAAGACAAGAAACTTAGTCGCATGCTCTGTATCTTCTCGGTCGACATCGGAGATTAACCTAGACAAACCTAATATAGTGCCTACAAAGGCCGATAAGAGGAATCTAGCTAGCCTTATTTCTGATCACACCGAGAACGGTCAAGCGATCACGACAATAGTTGTTCCAAAGTCTTCGATTGAGAACCTTAACTCGTTCATTTGCAATGAAGTCGGGGGTTACTGTCATGGTTATGGATACCACATACCTAATAATAGTTGACTAAACTCGGCAGGGTCCACCACATACCATGTCTTATACGGAAACAAACCTCGTATATAGAAGGAGTTCCGGATAAGGAAGTATAAATAGAGTTCTATATGGAAACGACAAGGACTACTCGGATTGTATCCATATTTATCTCCCTAGTTTTACTTGGATAATGGGGCATCTATGGGTATAAATACAAGACCCCTAGGAGGAGAGGGGATACACCACAAAGCCACAAGACACACCTACCATAGACGCACAATACATAAGCCAATATACGCCAAGACAAGTCGCCGGATATCAACATCAGAGATAAGCCTAGACATACCACATCCCGTGCCTACGGAAGCCGGCAAGAGGGATCAAGTGCCATCTCTGAGCTCGATGAGTTCGTATTTCAGAAGGAAGACTACCCTGTCGTCGACTACGAGATGGTTATCTAGCTGCCAAATCGACGACAATTAGATAGGTTATCCCAAATATTGTATTTGTGTGATCCAGATGAATAAAGAGCAACACCGACTTCGGCCAACAGGATGTAGGGCTATTACCTGTCAGATAAGGAGCTCGAACCTGTATAAAAATCCTTGTCTCCATCTCTTTTACCTCAATCTCGCACATACCCTGGTACCAACGATCCCCAAACCATCAAATACTGTAGTCGCGGTATCAACTGTCGATACTCTCCATAAAAATATATAGTAGCAATATAGTATCAGATAAAATATGTCATAGTACTACTAATTTATATGGACCTCATCTAAATTGATAGTGTTAAGATGTGCCTTATTCAGGACGAAGGAAGTCAAGTAAAACAACGATCAAACAAACCCTTAAAAACGCACGCAACAGACTAACAGGGAAGAAGCACCTTGACTCGATAAAATAATATAAATAAATTAAATAGTTATTTTGTTTAGAGATGACTGGATTCGAGGCATACGTGATCAACAACACAACACCGTCTTTGAAAGCAGAAAAGAAGCTGGTACTTGTTTCTTCCCCCAAGGTCGCTTGAGCTTATCGGGATGCCCGAATCGGACACTCCTACTGGAACTCCTTTTCTTTTTTCTTTTTAATAACGCTCGAAGATGAGTTGGATTATTCTCCTCTCCGTTCAAAAGGCCGTAGTTTCGTTCGAATTAGCTGTTTGGCTCAGCTTATTAGCGCCATGCGAATCAGCAGAGTACTAATAAATTATTACGTACTATTATAAGTCTGAAAACATTTATTTTTTCAAGGGAAAAGCCTGAATTACCCTGAATTATTAGGTGACTAAGAATTACCCTAAACTTGAAAACTAAATATCTTTCACTCTCAACTAGTAATATCAGATAAAAACCCCTCTGAGCACTGTTTTGGATAGTTTTAACTTGAAATTGCACACGTAACGCCAACGTGGCAATCCAGTTAGTAAAAAAAATATAAGAGAAATCCATGGACACACTTGTCATCTCTCCCTCAAGCCATCCTCTCATGTGCTCTCTCTCTCTCTGCAATAGCTGCAATGGAGGTGGCATTGTCCACGGCCTTGGTTCGTCGTCGCCTCGACGGCACCAGGGGCGCAGCGGAGGTCGAGCTAGCTCTGGGATGGCCTCAGGTGCGGTTGGTCTCGGCGACGGCAACCAGCTCACAAAGCGGCGGATCTATTGTTCCTAGCCCCGGGACGAATCTGCCGTTCCCAGCCTCAGGTGCGGCAGGTCTCGGCGGTGGTAGATCTGGTGCCCTCGGCCCTAGGAGGGGTGGATCCGCTGCCCCAACTTTGGGTGCGACAGTTCTCAATAGCGGCGACGACGACGTTGAGTGGCATGGAACCGGCAAGGTGGCGAAGTCGGATGCCTACTCCTAGCTTTCCGCCTCTATCGCCATCGTCACCACCTTGTCAAGTTGCTTTCTCCCTCCGACTCTTGGTTTGCAAGTGGCCGACGATGACCGAGATGCGACGGAAAGTATGGAGACGACGACCTCCGCCGGAGTGCGCATGTGATGGCTAAGAGAGCTACTGCCCGCAACATCCTCTTCACGCGTCACAACTGTCGTCGGAGTGTGCCTCCGTCTCCCACCATGTGCCGGAGTGCGCCGGCGGAGGCCGAGGAGAAGTTATGCGGTCGTAGAGGAGGCGCATGCCGGCGGAGGCTGAGGAGGACCCGCCTCCCCCGCTAGTCGCCCCCAGCTGCCTTCGCCGCTCTAGCTCATCCGCCCTGCTGTTGTGTAGTGTCGTCCCCTGCCGATGGACAGACTAGGAGGGAAGGGTGAAGAGAGAGGGGGTGAGAGGGAGAGAATATGACATGAGGGTCCCACCATTTTTATAAAAAAAAAGTGCTGACTAGATTACCACATATAGAGCTAAAACCAACTACCACATATAGAGCTAAAACCACTCCGTATTGAGTTAAAAGGGTTCTGCATCTAGTATTAATACTTGACGGTGAAAATTGTCTAGTTTTCGTGTTTAGAAGGTAATTCGTACTTACCCAATAGTTCAGGGGTAATTCAGACTTTTCCTTTTTTAAAAAATGAACTTCTATATACATATATTTTTAAAAATACATTTAAAAATACATTGTTTAGCAGTATGAGAAATATGCTTATGATAAACGAGAAAATAGGTGAGAAAATAATCTGTTTAGAATTCAGCCTCAGAGAAAAAAAATCATTTGGTCAGGAGATCTTATTTCATGATTGATAAATGTTTTTAATGAAATAAACACCTGTATATATGAATATTCGTGGATATAAAGTTGATGCTTTAGATTTGTCCTACCTTATGTTCTTATGTTTTCTTGTTGCTATGTCATGTGTATCTTTTAAACGAAGTTTTCAACTTTCTTGTGTTCTTAATTTCTATAGAAATTTAATGAGTATGACACTTTATTCTTGTGTTTTTTGTTTTTACAATCTTGTGCTTCAAAGGAGCTGTATACGAGATTAGGTGTAGAAAAAAAATGATGCAACACTATAAATTGTACTACGTAGCAACTACTAATATGGCATTTCTACACAAACATGCCAGCAAACTCACGATAAAAGCATGTGCCTACTCTTCACCAGATTCCGCCATTAAATTTAGCGTAAATATTATACGAACCCACTTACATGACGCGCGAGTGTGCAAGCAATAGTTCAAAAGGAAAAAGAAAACTTCAAAAGTTTTAAAACATACTGTAGGAGTATTAATCATTCTAAAAGCATTTCAAATCAAACAACAAACAAAATATTTTTCATCCTTATCAAGAGAACGCAAGGACAAATAAATTAGATTCCTCTCATATTGCCAAATTGTCCAAAATCTGGACCATGCATGATGCGACCACCACCCCATCAGCCCATCTGATAGCGAGCGACAAGCAGGACAGATCCGCGCGGAAAATCCCAAACTCGCCCGCCCGCATGGGATCCAACCCCCAACCTGTGATCTCCTCTACTCTCTTCTACTCCGTTCTATAAAAAATTCAATCTACATAAAAACTTATTAGGATTTATTATTGTACGAAGTATTCCATCATGTTATTAACCTTTTATGGGTCTAATAGAAACCAATCTAGATAAAGACTCATTTAAACAATTACATTTATTGTGTTAGAAAGTATTTTATCATATTATTGATTTTCTATAGATGGAGGAAGTACTCCCATCCAGGGTTTCCCAAACCGTCGAGGCCAGGGTTACCGTGTAAAATTTATCAAAAATTCAAATTATTTTTTAAATTTATTTAAATTTCAGGAGGTTATTATGGTATTTATATTACCGTACTCTATGATAAACCCGATAACTATGGTAACCGCGCGGCAGTAAAGGAAACCTGCTCCCATCTACTCCACGGCCTCACTCACTGCTCTGCTCTCTCTCCCCGCGGTTAAACTTAAAGCTACTATCGCTAGCGCTTTGCCTTGGCTACCGTGCCTCTTGACAAAAACCAAAGCCCAACTACTCCCCAGTCCCCACTGCTGCAATGTCTGCTCGTGTTCTGCGGCTGTTACGGTAGTTTAAGAGCAAGTTTAATATTATAGCCTATTACTGGCTTCAATTTATCTATAGCTAATCTAATAGCTAATTGATATAATAGTTGTTTACTATACTATTAATATATGGTCCCACCTATTATACACACTGTGTTTTGAAATCCGTGCTGCAGCTGGCTACAGATCTCTAGCCCATTTCTCTTCTCTCTCATCTTTTATCTAATTAAAATATATTTATAGCTGACTAATAGTCTGCTATTATACCTGCTCTAATAACTTTGTTTTACTGCTAATTATAATCACCAGTAGAGAGAGGGGGGAGGAAACTGTGATCTCTGGTCTCCATCTTTTAGCAATAGTACGCATAATTTATAAGTAAATATTTTATATGTATGTTATGATTTAAATATCAATATTGAAAATTAAATTTATATAAATTCCTTTTTAAAATTCAAAATTTGACAGCAGCTGATTCTAAACGAAGCAAATCATTGGGGCCTCTGAACAGAGTGACAATAGTGTGCAACTGTTGACGTACTAGTAGAAGGAGAGTAGTACCACTACCGTGGTAGCAGCTGCTTAACTTTGCCCACCGGCCACCGTTCAGGGGCCATTAATGGCGTGCAGGGCCGCTGCTGCTGCTGCTTGCTCTTGCTCTTGCTGCTGGGTGGAGTGAGCGAGAGATCCCATGTGGCATTGGAGCGCTGTCTCCTGCTGCTGCACAGTCTACTCTCACCTGCTCCGCCTCTCCCCTCGTTAATTCTTGGCGGCTGTGTGGCGAGGAAGAAGAAGCGGTGATGGCATGCTGATGGGCTGCGGGTTCTTGGATGCATTTGGGTGGATATGCGGACATGGTGGTGAGTTCGCTGCCTCTCGCGCTTCTCTGAGCCTGTATTGATTTTAGAAATTTCTTGTATTTCGTTCTAACTCTAGATGGCATTGATGCTCTGCTTGCTTGGTTCTTGTTATCTTCTTGTACTCTGTGTATGTGTGTGTGTGAGAGAGATATTTGAACTGAAGATTCTGCAGTTTCAGATTTTCTTTGGCCTGTTTCTCTCTCTCCCCCGAGCGGTAGCCATTCTCTCTTTCTTGTTCTTCTGCCAATTTCCAGCTGTTTCCAGTAGCTGGAAACTTCGAATTGCTTAAAGTTCAGTTGTTTGCTTGCTATGACTTCGTTTCCCCTTCAAGTTTCACTGCATTTCCTTTCCAGTTTTTCCTTCAAAGCTCGGATTTGTTTCTTGCCTCTTCAGCATTCTTTTTTCCGGCCTCGATTTTGTATAAAGCCGTTTGTTTGTGTCAAAATGTTCACCAATATGCCTTTCTCATGAGCCTCATCTGTTCGGTTTACTGTACATATGCTCTTAATGGTCTGTCAATAGTCTGTCCAGAATGTCATTTTCTATGTCGGGACCGTACAGATTTTTAAGGCTGCAGCTTCCATATTTTTTAATTTGAACAAATGACAACTACTGCCTTGTTTTTTCTGTTCAATCTGGAGTAAAACTTGTTCGCGATGTTCTTGCATCCGGTCTCCAAATTGTTTTTTTTTTTTTGGTTTTTGGAAATAAGTATGATTCAGTCCCGTGGCATTCACATCTTGCTTCTCCTTAGTTTCTTCATTGATTTGGGCTGTAAATTTAATCTTTTTCCTTTGCAGGAAGCTGTAATTTGAGAGCGATGGGAGCATCTTCTTAGGGATCCTCTTCCACTGGCTAGCCTACAGCTGTTTTTCTCCTTCATTGGTACTCCAATCTTGGCTGGAATTTTGAATCTTTTGTCCGGGAAGTGATAAAATTTAGAAAGACAACACAACCATTGGCACTTCTTACAGTTGTGAGCGCTAAGCTGAGCCTCCAATGGCGTGGCATTTTACTGCGGCTTTCATGATCGCAACCTGTTTGATGTTATTCCCAAGAAGCGAGCAGTCCTCGCAGGGTGAGGTGCTGCAGCAGCTAAGGAAGCAGCTGGAGTACCCAAGGCAGCTGGATGTATGGAATAACCCAAACAGTGACCCCTGCTACACCCAGCCTACTTCGGTGGTCACCGTGGCATGCGAGGGGAACGCCATTACAGAGCTTAAGATTATCGGTGACAGGATCACCAAGCCACCAAAGTTCAGTGGCTATCCTGTCTCCAATATCACCCTCTCTGAAGCCTTTGTTCTCGATTCGTTTGTTACTACATTGGCAAGGTTACCTGCCTTGCACGTTGTTATCCTAGTATCCTTGGGGCTATGGGGTCCTCTTCCTGACAAGATTCACCGGCTGTCATCTCTTCAAGTGCTTGATTTGAGCTCCAATTTCCTTTATGGATCGATTCCTCCGAAGCTGTCAGCCATGCCAAAGTTGCACACCTTGACATTGGATGGGAACTTCTTCAATGGTACCATGCCGGACTGGTTCAACTTGTACTCGAACCTCACGGTTCTTCGCTTGCAGCGTAACCGGTTGAAGGGGCCCATACCAGCATCAATTGGTAAAGCTACCATGCTTAGTGAGCTTGCTCTTGCTGGCAACAGCATCGCTGGCGAGGTTCCACAATTAGGCAGCTTGAATAAGCTTGAGATGCTGGACTTGAGGGACAATGAGTTGGATGGGGAGCTCCCAGAGCTGCCTACAGCATTGGTAACAATCCTACTCAGCAAAAACTCACTCAAGGGCGAAATCCCTGAGCAGTTTGGTCAGTTGAACCGACTTCAGCACCTCGATCTCTCATTCAACTTTCTCGTGGGGAAGCCTCCTGAAAAGCTCTTCGCTCTTCCAAGCATCAGCTATCTCAACCTAGCTGCGAATATGCTCAGTGGATCATTTTCTACTAGTTTAACATGCAGCAGTACCCTTGGCTTTGTGGATTTGTCTACAAACCAACTCACAGGTGACCTGCCTGTCTGTCTTAATGTTAATGTCAATAACAGGGTAGTTAAGTTTGATGGTAATTGCTTCAGTGACGACCCTGAACACCAGCATGAAACTAAGTATTGTCAACAACCTCACAAGGGGAGAGGATCAAACAAGGATGTTGGACTTGTGGTCACTGTTGTTGGGGTGGTGTTTATTGTGCTTGTGCTTTCTCTTATATTAATGGCTTCAAACAGAAGAAGCTGTCAGAGAGTTTTAGCAGAACAACAGTTACTTCAAAAGCAAATGCAAGATAATTCGACATCAGGAATGTCAACTGAACTGCTAGTAAATGCAAGTAAGTCTTCTTCTGAAGAAATTTTGCTAGTAAATGCCTAGTTTCTTATGATATATGGAATGATGTGCTAGATGTGGATCATGTGTGCATCACTGCATCCCATGTTTTGAGATCCATCCAGCCGATTGTTTGTCATAGTCACAGATAGATACATCATACATGTAGACTATCCTAATGGTAGATGATGGTATTGGAATGAACTCCAAAATTTATTTCCCTGAATAATAAACAAGAGATAATTGTATTTCCTCCTATTGAAATTCTCCTCTCCCTCACTTCATTGCAGGGTACATATCTCAAGCTGTAAAATTAGGGACACAAATAATGCCCATGTATCGAGCATTTTCTTTGGAAGAGCTCAAGGAAGCAACAAAAAGCTTTGAGAGGTCGGCATTTTTAGGCGAGGGGTCAATTGGAAAGGTCTGTTGCCATCTTCAACATCTGTCTGATACTCCGATTTAGTTAGGAATTTACCGTATACATGAGATAATAATTGTACTGCTTTTAACCTGTTAACAGTATTATAATTACTCCATTTTATTAGCTCTGCAAGCTAGATAGTTTCTGACAATTTTTCCTCATACTATTTTAATGTGGCATTTTCCTTACTCCTTTCCTTTGTTTTCAGCTGTACAAGGGAAAACTAGAGAATGGAACCCTGATTGCCATAAGATGTTTGGCATTGCACCAACGATACTCAATAAGGAATCTAAAACTTCGATTAGATCTACTGGCGAAGCTTCGTCACCCAAATTTGGTTTGCCTCTTGGGGCACTGTATTGATGGCGAAGTTGATGAATCAAGTGTGAAAAGGGTTTTCCTTGTCTATGAATATGTACCTAGTGGAACGTTTCCTTCATATCTTTCTGGTAAGGAACTAAAAATAAAATGAGGAATTAAAGTCGTACGAAGTGATAGCAATCGAATTTGTAACTTGTGGTTCGTGAATGCCTTTGCTGTGGTAGGCTCTAGTCCAGAGAAGACTCTGAACTGGTGTGAGAGGCTCCAAGTGCTGATGAACATTGCTAAGGCTGTGCATTTCTTACATACTGGAATAATTCCTGGTTCCTTATATAACCGGTTAAAGCCTTCTAGTATTTTACTTGATGAACACCTTGTGGCAAAACTGAGTGACTATGGGCTATCCATAATTACGGAGGAGATATACAAACATGAGGTTGGTTTGCCATATCATAGAATGATCCTACTCCTCTTCCCCTGTATTTAAAGGAGTCTCAATTATAGACCATTCTTTATTTTAATGCCCTTATTCCTATTGGTTTACACTTTACAGGCAGCAGGAGAAGGGCAGAGATGTGTAGAAGACAATGGTGGAGAATTGTAAGTACCTGCAGAACTTGTAGCAAAGTATTTCTTACACAAAGTTGCATACAACTAATAAATGATCAGACATGCTGAAAGTCTAATATAATTTATGTTTTTAGGGAAAATTTGGAGGATGATGTGCTTTCTTTTGGAGGTATTTTACTTGAAGTACTTATGGGGCCAAAACGTCATAGGAAAGATCTCTCTGTGCTAAGTGAGCTGGTATGTTCCATTTTGTCTTTTGCGTAAAGATAATTAATCAAATATCCAGATGATAGTTATAATAATGATACTTCGATCAATATCACGGTGATACATAGCTCGAGCGCTGTCTGGACTGGGCTAATTTCATGTTGTATTAAGCTATCTATCAACTCAATACAGATATTTTGTTGGTTGGGTATGACCGTATAACTTTCGTCCTCATTGTGCTCTGCAATCCATGATATCATAAGCTGAATTATGACACCACACACTAATAAGTTCTGAGTATGAAATGTATGTTTCAAGCACTTCTGCTTCCCTGCATTAGCCCAACAAAGAGCATTACATGCACAAATATTAGGAGCAATGTTGCTTGCAGAGTAAGAACTACAAATTTTAATATCCGGATTAATTTGGCATGATAAAACTTCAACTGATAGGATCCTTAGCTCTCTAAAACCCTACATGACTCATATGCTCTGATCATACCAGAACAATCAAAATTTTACCTGTATCTGCAGGTTCTGTCAATATCAAAACAGGAAGAGCGCGAGCAAGTTCTTGATCCGGTTGTGCTGAGCACCTCTTCGCAAGATTCTTTGTCGATGGTGATTTCCATTACTGTCAAATGTTTATCAGTTGAATCTTCAGCCAGGCCTTCGATCGAAGAGGTTCTCTGGAATCTGCAGTACGCTGCACAAGTCCAGGCAATATCTGATGGGGACCAGAGATCAGAAGTTTCCTCGCAGACCTGTTAGGCTAACTGAACATAAAACACCTTGGAGGTTATTGTCCATATCTGGGAAAAGACGGCGCCGCACGTGCAAGCTAATTTGATCTTGGTGTGCAGAAGAGAATGACCAAACTGACTGATCTCTTCCTGGGAGTAATCCTGCATTTGCTGCTACTTCAACAGCATTTCTGACACATCAACAAGTTAATTAACATGTCAAATGCTGTATGCTAAACACAGATATGGTCACGTTACGTCCTGTAAAGAGTTTTTTTTTTCTCGATTCTAGCTTCCCATTGCTGTGAAAGCATCCCTATGAGCAGTTCTTGATTTCCAAACTTCCAATCGTTGTATTAGGGCATTCTCATATAATTAAGTAGTAGGACGAGTGATGTGATAGCAAAATTGATGAGTTGATAGAGAAGGGTATCCCATGTTAGTGTAGTAATGAGAAGATGTAATTCATTTGCCACATGACTCGTGCTAGTGCAGACCAAAGTGAATATGCTCCAAAACTAAATTTGGGTAATAAAATATGGCCTAAATTCTAATTTACTTTAGGATTCAATGATGCAATAATATTAATTCCATTTGTTATAAAACTGGTCCGAAATCACTATCGAAAACCAAACACGAAAGAAACGTCATAGGTAATTCAAACACGATGATCGCATTGAAGTACGATATTTGTTAACGAGATTTAACCGAAGCCTACATCCCTGGAGTGCTTCTTCCCATCCAGCATTTACAGCGTATTAGAGTTATAACAACTATCGATCGAACGCCGTTGGCAGCCGCTCCCTCTCACTATGCGAACTCTAACAAACTCCTCCTTAGCGAATATGCCACGCCAACATGAATTTGTTATTTGCTCGAACCTCCGTGTGCCAGAACTTGAGTTGGTTCTTCCACCGCTCATGCTGAGTTGGCCCGACAAGCCTTCACCAGGATCACCACAACAAGAGACTCCCGCTATCCCTGTAACTTCTTCCTCTTGATTGCACCTGCAACAGTGTTCCACCCTCTCTTATATCACCACAATCGTCTTGCTAAGTGAAATTGAATTTCTTTCTACCTGTTACATCATAGACTCCTCAAAAATCATGTTCAACTACATCTACTGTTTTAAATTTGACTTGTTCTAATCCATGGCCAGATAACACGCATTGTTACCAAATAGAAAAATCAAACTCACTAGACATGAAGAGAACCTTTTCTTCTTTGATGTCTTACGAACCGAGCTAATTAACAAATCCAATATCCACGCTTCTACATAGAAAGTCTCATGTAATATGTTGCCAGAAGTTGTTTCTATTGAAATCTGGAGTCACTGACTCCAAATCAACAAAACATCTTATGTTGAATCCCATATGAGTACTAAGATCCTTTCGTGTGAGATAGTATTCCGTCCCGAAGAATCGGAACGTAATACCTTCCCACACGTATCGCAACATACAGAGAAATCGTACGGTAAGAAAACGTGAACCAGAGTCATCTACTAGCGCGAAATCATCCCAACATATTGCTTTCCACACAGTAGCAGAATCAACATTCATACCTATTTTAGCAAGCAGCTCCGGGTCGTATGCTCGCGTATGAGCGAACACTTGATCCCTGAGAAGGTTGTAGGCCTGCATCAACTGATCTTTTTACAAGTACAGCTCGGAGTCGGGACAAAACGTCAAGCCTTGATCCTCATGCATTGACACTTGGCCATAAGATTCTGCATGTCCTTCACTCGGCACATCCTCTTTGGACGAGCACGCACTCGAGCTGTAGGAATGGTGGTGTGAGCTCGATACTGATAGGAACTATAAAATGGAAGGTGGACTGCTGAAGTATAAAGGAAGGATATATGCAGGTAAAACATCTTAAACCAACTACTAAGGGCATACCACTCCTCCTTTGGGGCCATTATGGAATGAGGGCCACTTGCCATAGAATCAAAATGTTTTTTTACTAGCCTGGTCTCAAGAGGGATGCTGACAAAATGGTTAGGGAATATCGTATGCCAAGCGACTAAAGAAGAACACAAGTTCATATTCCAGGACTCCTCAATCCTTTTGATATAGTTGACATGGCTTGGTCACACATTACCATGAATTTCATTATAGGCTACCAAAATCCAGAGGAAAGGATGTGATATCGGTGGTGGTTAACAGATTGACTAAGTATGCTCACTTTTTGGCCTTGTTTCATCATTATTCAGTGGAGCAGGTGGTGGATATCTTTATATGGATATATAACATCCACAAACTACATGGGATGCCAATGGGTATCATAATTGATGGTGACAAGATATTCACTAGCTGTATATTTCAGGAAGTATTTCAAATCAATGAATATGCAGCTGAGATTCAACGAAAAAAATTTGGAAAAATATTCTTCTTTTTAAAAATTTGTGTTTATATACCTGTATGGGAGGGTTTAGCACAAATATACCTAATTTGCAGATTGGAAACGCGGGACCACAAAGCAAGCGCGACATGGACATGCGGGAACGGCGGATGCTTCGGTGCCGCGGAGTGAAAACGCGGAATAGCCTCGGTCCCGTGGAGCAGAAGAGCGGAACCACATTGCTCCGGCGGCCCTGTCCTGCGGCAGCGTGGTAGAGAGCGGCGTCGTGCGGGATAGCCTCGCTCCCGCGGAACCGTGGTGCGCCACCGACGCGGTTCAGCGTCCCGAATGCGCGCCATCTTTCCGGTCCCGCTGCTCCGCACCTCGGAAGAGCAGCGCCGCTTTGGCCGGCATCGTTAATTAGCTCACAAATTTTTTTTCATTGCTTGTTGGAGATAAATCCGGAAACAAAATATTAAACTAAGCTTAGGCTCTGTTTGTTTCAACTTAAGATTATTGTAATCCAGATTATTAAATCAGATTACTCTAAGCTGGATTATAATAAGCTGATATAGAATAAGTTGCGAGTTGTTTGTTTCTCTAGATTACTAGAGACATCTAAGGGTAGTGGGTCTTTAGCCACTCAATAATCTAGAAAAAGCTCCTCCATAGGAGATTATTAGATTATACTAATCTGGCTTATAGATTATAATAATCTACTGGTTTGTTTCGGCTTACTCATAATAATCCAGATTATAATAATTTTAAGCTGAATCAAACAGGGTTAATCACATCAACAAATTAAGTTACCAACGGAGGTTCATTAGCCAGTATAATATTTTCTTATTAGTTGTTGGAGATTAATCCGGAAGCAGAAGAGTAAAAAAAAAAGCCTAATCACATCAACAAAGTAAGTTGCTTTTTTTTACGGTTGTGACCTCTAATCCAGAACGCAATGCCGCTCGTGCTGGTGCGTTCCCGCACTACTATGCCGCGGGACCGACGACCTGCCGGCCAATTGCGTAGAGATTGATTCACGGTCCCGCATGATGGTTATGCGGGAAAGGGAGCGGTGCCTCACGACGGGACCAGATCGGTGCCGCATATCCGGGATGCAGAACCGCGTCGGTAGCGCACCACGGTTCCGTGGGAGCAAATCGGTCCCACTCTCCGCCACGTTGCCACAGGATAGGGCCGCGGGAACGATACGGTCCCGCTCTTCTGCTCTGCAGGATCGGGCCTATTCCGCGTTTCCGCTGCGCGGCACCGAAGCAGCCGCCGTTCCTGCATGTCCACGCCGCACTTGCTTTGCGGTCCCGTGTTTCCGAACCGCGGATTAGATATATTTCTGCTAAACTCTCCAATGTAGATATATAAACACAAATTATTAAAAAAAGAGTGTATTTCCAAAATTTTTTTCGAGATTCAATACAGGTCACCTCCATGAAACAAATTGTTAGACAGAAAGAGTGAATCAATGTCTTTGAGTCCTATATGAGAAATATGACCTTCCAAGAGCCCCAACATTGGTATTTATGGTCGGCGTTGGCTGAGTGGTAATATACCACATATCATACAACTATCGAGATGACCCTATTCAAAGCATTATATAGGTACACCCATTCAATTGGGTGGGTTTAATATATTTTAATGAGTCTAGTGTCTTGCATCAAATTACGATATTTTTAGAGTGTCCTCAAGAAAATTTCTTTGTGGTGTCCCACAGCTAATTACGCATTTGAGTGTCTTGGAGCAAATTTGGTGTAATATATAATATCCACCCAACTGATGAGAGATAAATCACATAAAATGGCAGTTTTGCCCTTATCTTCTTCTCCCTTCTCATAGTCTTCTTCCGACGCTCACTCGCAGTGAGCTCCATTGGCTTGTCCATTGTGAACAACCGCTCGGTGCAGTCGATGGCGCGGTTGCACATCATGCCACAGGCGCCAGTGAGATTGGGCATCGCCAAGCCGGCGTGCATGGTGAGGTGGTGCGCTATGGTGCTGCCGTCCGAGTCACCGGTGACGAACACGCGGCCGAAGTCAGCAGCCTCGGTGAGCCAGCCATCAGCATTGTCCAAGGTGTGTTCCCTAATCCAGTGGAGGAAACCCGTCGCATCGTCAACTGCGGTGGGAGGCGGTGCTTGAGGGCGAGGCGGTACCTGATGGAGAACACGACGGCACTGGCATCCCTCACGTGGTCGTCTGGCCGGGGCACGGCCACCACGGTGGTGCGAGTGCAAGTGGCTCCGGCAGCTGCGCCGCCTCCGCGGTCGCCTATGGTGTTCGGCGTCCGGTAGCGGTGGCCTCGACATGTTGCATGACCATGCTGAGCAACTATCTACCATGGGCAAGCCGGTGGAGCTCACTGCGAGTGAGAGTCAGAAGAAGACCGAGAGAAGGGAGAAGATAAAGGGAAATTTGTCATTTTATATGGTTTCTCTCTCATCAAATTGGTGGATACTATATTTTAATGCGTCCACTATACTACAGAAAATTACCACACTTTTAGAGTGTCCTTGGCAAATTGATGTCTTTGTGATGTCCCATAGCTAATTGCAATTTTTTTAAATGTTTTATACCAAATTTTGCCTACCTAAAATTGCAGCCCTACAGGCGTACATCATTTGGTATCAGGGGCTCTCTTAAGCTGAGATTAAAATTTTATGGCCCTTTCACAATTACTAGGAAGATTGGACAGGCTGCTTAGAGACTCCAACTTCAAAGGGCTCCAATATACATCCTATTTTTCATGTCAGCCAACTGAAAAAACACTTGGGAGCTCATGCAGTTCCAATGGCCAATCTGCTATCTGTTAGACCAGACGGCTGGATCAAAACTGAACCAGTTGTTGTATTGCAAAGGAGGATGGTGCTAGAAGGGGAGAAGCTGTGACTCAATGGTTGAATCTTTGGTAAATTTATCACCGGCTGAACCACCCTGGGAAGATACCACTGTGATCCGAAGTATGTTTCTACCTTTCAATCCTTGAGGACAAGGATTGTCTCGAGGGGAAGGTAATGTCGGAATCTGGAGATGAGAAATGGACTGAATATGTTCTGAATTTATGAATCTCTGAGGATGCTTAAGCCAATTGAAGAGAAGAGGATAAGGAAACAATTCAGGAGCGGATTATGAAGATCGGACGACTGGTAATAGACGAGGCATATTAGTTTTGCATCTGGGAGCTTGCTCGTTGTCAGGAACCACTGTTTACATTTCATTTTGTCGCTTCTCTGTTTTCCTCTGCTTTTAAGCTAGCTCTCGTGTGGAACCAAGGGTAGATACTGAATGTACTATAAATTGAGATGCCTTATGGCCAAGGAATGGATATGAACAAACTTATGATTATCTTTTATTTCAAAGTAACTTAGCTTTTGAGCCTTTTGTGTCTTGCGTCATACACTAAATTTCATGCAGTGGGGGATGGCAAGCAGCAGCGGACGGACGTGGGTGACAACGAGCCATGGTGGACAATTGGAGCTGGATCTGAACTGAGGGTTGCTAGACGTTGAGCCGGCGGCGGCTAGCTAGGATTTTTAGGATTTTACTCCCTTGCTCTTGCTCCGGTACAATATCAATATACAGGGAGGAGAAATTGGGAATTTAACTTTTCCTGGAGTTTAATCCTAAATGGCATATCAATTATATACACTAGTGATAGAAAGTTACTTTAATACTTTTCATACAAACTATCTCATATATACCCTTAACATACACAATGCTAGACAACTGCAGTCTTGTTTCTACGTGTGGATTGAATAGAAGCCGTGATGCCCAAAATATATGAAACCCTAAACCATTTGCAATTTTGATCATCATATACATCTTTGCAACATTTTCTGCAAAACGTTTATATAAATAAATAAATAAATAAATAAATGCAATAGAACAAATCAATTCCTGATGTTCCCATTCAACAAGAAAATATAAAGCCGTGATGGTCAGAACATGTGCAAAATCTTACAAAGAGGGAAAGTTAAACTTGATACAAAACTGAGAGCACACATGCATGCCCAGAAAGGTGAGTCGACCATGAGTGTGTATATAATCCCTTTTGTTCGCATCAATGGCGCGATAGGTGAAAGCGAGGACGGTTCGTGAACTTCCGTCCGTTAGCTTTGACATAACGCGTGATGCCAAAGCAAAAACCAGACCATAGTAGTGACAGCACCAAATGGAAAACATCATTACGTGCTGCAAGGAAATGAATCAAGTTAGTATGACAAAGCATGAAGAAGGATCAAATTAAACTTGTTGGAGTGAATTTGGCCTAGTGACTTGGTTATGTATTTGTTTCCACATAGTAATATGTTGGCTGCAAACAACTCGTCAAGTTTACAACAGTTGAGTGCCTCTAATCTGCATAAATTAACTTAAATCATTGCCATTTCGGTAGGATGAAATAGTACCTCTTCTCAGTGACATTATCAAGAATATCACGGCAGCCAAAAGCAGAGCAAAAGCAAGGCGGAAGGACTGCAAATGAAAACTCAAGTAAGTTCTCCACTAAAATATCCTAATTTAAATATGGAAAAATATTGTAGGATCGTAAAGGGCCTTTCCCACCCCAAAAGCTAGCCATTGAGGTGAGGGGCTCCCCCACTTATATCTTAAGTCCCTCAGCCTTTCACCGTGTATAGACCCCACAGAACAGGCCCACGGTCCATTAGGTATACGGGCCCCGCAGGCACCCACGGTCCATCAAACCTTCACATACTGTGTCCATCGGGCCAGAGATGTTAACCTAGCCAGGCTCTGATACCAATTGTAAGACCGTAAAGGGCCTTTCCCACCCCAAAAGCTAGCCATTGAGGTGAGGGGCTCCCCCACTTATATCTTAGGTCCTTCCACAACCAATGTGGGACTATTCAACAAATATCTCCACTAAGATATGCATAACGACATTCAAATGCCCATGTAACTCTATCAACACGAAAGAACTAAATTGAGGGAATACATCAGGGGTGGAAATCTTCGCAGGTAATTACACTGCTGGTTACCGGCCAGGAGCTCCAAACCAGTTACTGGTATTTCCGGTCAGAACATTATGAGCTGTATATTTTTTGCAGCATTAAGTGTGATAAATACTAAGTCATTAAAAAAAAGCACGCATTATCCATGCCATAAGTTTTAATACAAAATTTTCCATCAAAAACTGGTTCATGGTCGGTTACGGCTGGTAAATGGTTTGTGAATTAAAAAAAATGGATATAGTGGTTTTCCAGAAAGACTGGTATTCAAAACCTTGGTATGGATCATAGCATCACCGCTGTCAACTTATCCTAGTAAGTAGATGGAAACATCAAAATTATGCATAGAAATTCATTGTAAATTGCAATCCTTTTAAGCATGAGAATTCAGAACCAAGAGTAAGAACAATAAATGCAATTCACGGTATGCAACTTAAGGATTATTCATCTGTAAAAAAAAATCTCAAGTAATAGAAAGAAAATAACCAACCGCGTGATTCTCTATAAGTCCTTTGGTTGGAGTTGGCATATCCCGACTAACTGAGGATATGTGATGTCCTTGAAGAAGATCCATGGCATCCTATACAAGACAATAAACAAATAATGAGTTATCACTATGCCTTGATCCATCATTACCAACGTAAGGGATCTTTTCTTCACTCGTCCATGATGTCTTGGATAAAATAGCAAACCTAAAATAGCAAAATCCAACTCACTCCAGCCCATCAATGGTGAGACCAAGTAAGCAACATACCTGTTTAGTACCATCTGCAAAGTTGTTCAGGTAATATCTAGCCATTGCATTCCACAGATCATTTAAAATTCCCTGTGTAGTTCGCTTTCCGTACCTAATAAATAAATAAGATATAGTTAGGTTAAGAACAACAAATAACTAATTAATCATTATTTGTTTCTAAAGATCCAACAACCAAAAGAAGAAATAGATCATAGACAGCGGATTAATAGAGGAAAAAGTGAAAACATGTGGCAATGCCATTGGCAGAACGATAGTATTATTTTGCACCTTATGTGATCATGTAGTTTGTCAGTAATTTAATTATAATACTGCACTCTCATGCATTAGAACTGTGTCAACATCTTAGGTGTCAGCTCAGTCCTGATACTGGGAAGTAAGCAACTAAACATAATCCAACAAGTAATTTTTCTGATGGTGACGAGAAGATAACTTTTCACAGCGAGCAAGAAATAAATCAGTTTAAAAGTTGCCATTATAAAGGTTTAACTATTGAGGAGATTCACAACATGAAACTAGAGAAAATGTTTAGCAGGCTAGGTGTTAAAGGATCTTACAAGTTACAAAACCTTTGCTTCATAAGGAAACATTAGCAACTCAGCTTAAACGTGCTTATGGTTGCAATCAAATCATTACTTCTTTTTCTGAAATTAGTAGGTCCAAATTGTGCAAAGGAAAAGGGGCTAAATAAGAGAATTCACAAAAACTTGAAAACACAAATTACCGCACAAAGTCTCCCTTCAAGGCAGGAGTTCCAGAGTACTGAGTGCTTATTGCATCGCCATGGTTGGCCCACACTGAAAAAGAAGTCAGCAATTGTTTAGGACCAGCAACATTGTGAGACAAATGTGGGGGACATACTAACAAACATGTTTAGTGAATATCATATGCAACACTTACAAACTTTGTAATCTGCATCAAATGCCGGATAATCGCTGATTGTATTGTTGTCACCAAGAACACTGATTTTTTGCAGTTGGCTTTCCAATATTTTTCTCCCGATCATGCTCTGTTTTGTGTATTAAGGAGACTATTGTAGTTACATACACATTAAAAAAATGGAGAAGGCCAAAGAAACAAAGTAATTGCTCGAGAAAGACATAAGGATCCCCACACAACTACAAATACTTTGAATGTAATATTCTAGCCCAGTAGTTGCTACTTGCTAGTGATGTAACCCATGGTGTGGTTTGGTGAGATTAGTTCCACATGGAGCATTGTTGACGCCCGTAAAATGCTAAAAGTGATATTTTGTACTCCTTAAATACTTATGAATAAATGAGGTATTGATAAATGCTGTATTTATTTTGGCACTAACCTTAATGTATCCACGAGTTTTGGTGTGTCAACAAGTTTTTGGCGGTAAGCCGGTAATAAGTGCATCAACATATTCAAGCAAAATCAGGAAGTTCAAAAAAAATGCAAGAACAATGCCAGGCAACGTATGCAACGGCCCAACCAGCCTAGCCAACCAAGGGATGCAGTCCGGCCGGTCCCAAACCAAGCATGCAGCCTGGCCAGCCCAAGCTTACAGCCCAGCCGGTCCACTCCGTAGCCCAGTCGATCCCACACCGACATAAGTTGGCTAGCCCCACAAGATGCCTTAGCTGCTACTCCACCTCCTTGTATGCTCCATGCAGTGTGGGAGAAATGCCTCATGCCACTTCATTCCTCCATGCCTGGTGGAGATGAAACCCATATGCCCAAGGCACTTCTAATATAAATAGGGGGCTCCACTCTCACTTCACTCGCCCCTCTTCTCGAGAGGGTGGAAACAGCTAGGAAAAGATAGTTGACAAGGAAAGAAATCTCAGAGACCAGAAAAATACTATAGGCCGGAATGCTAACACTCCAAATTTGTACCACTTCGATGATTTTTTCTCCCCGATGGAATAAAACTCCTATCCCTTCAATCCGGTAAAATTCTGATGTGATCTTATTATTTCTTTCTAGTTTACTATTTGTTATCTGTTGGTACCTCGTCTATTCACACTTTATGTTTATATTATGCATGTCTAGTTACTCTATGTTTAGACTTCAATGTGGACTATTTAACCTATTGTCTGGACATGGTGCATGGCTATACATTTACAAGGAATGTGGGTGACCTAGTACTGCCAACAACCCTTCTCTCAAATGGATCCAAACTGAAGTTATCCAATGACAAGGATGAAACAACATATCATTTATTTTTTGAATGTCCAATGACAAGATCAATCTAGAATGTGGTGATCTGCTCGCACATTCTTGTGTAACGAAGGTTTATGCTCTACTACCAACCAAAGTCCATATCGACTAAACTCCTCACGTTGTGTAGAAGTGTTAAACGAAGATACTATGGTCAGAAATCCCTCAGTTTGTACCTACCTAAACTCTATATGTGGGACTAATCGCACCAAAACCACAGTCCGGGCTACAAGAGCCACTATTATTGGGCCTAGTATTAAATTCACCCCGTGAAGGTTTGACACCATGGCAGTGCATAACTAATGTCTAGAACCACCCCTAGGTACATAACCAAGTTTTATGACCTCCATGAGCCAATGCATATAACCCCATCAATCCCATTGTTTGATTGAAGAAATTAAATTGGAACAGGATTGGTTAAGAAAACCTTCTCTTTAGGAGGTGAGAATTATGTTCTATTTTCAACTTTCCATTCTCCCCGCATTTTTCCTCTACTTCTCTACATGGCAAACACATCAATCTCATTCAAGGCAGCCACATCGAAAAATCTCATCCATGGCAGAGTGCTTCTTCTAGGATCGCCTCCTCTCTATTTTCTGTGTTGGTTGGATGAATGATGCCTTGCGCCCTTCCCCCACGCGGTCAGAAGTCTATCATATCACCTTTAAGGCAGTTGGATGATTTCGCCTCCCCAGACTGCTCCATTGTTCTAGCTGCCTCCACCTCTGGCACACGCAATGACGTCGGCCTCCTTGTCCAACTCTAGGACAGGGCACTACGGCCTCTCCCCATCTGGCGCAGCGTGCGGCATCCTCTTCACTAGCTTCAACGTCTCCTCATAGACCAGAGTCATGCATGCACCATCGCTTTTCTCTCACCGGCTGATATCCACGCAGCGACCAGACATAGCAAAAGCTATCACGTGCGAGGTGGGAAGAGCTCATCTAGCAAAATTTCTGGTACAACACCGTTTTGCATCTTGGTCGAATATTCTATCATGTTGGATGAACTCGTCCCGGCTCATTCCACTTCGTCCTACCAACCAAATTCAGGGTGAGGGCCTCGTCCAAACTAAACACTATCTAGAAGAACCTAGGAGCGATTATGTGATGTTCTGTATCTTTTGAAAACTGCACTTAGATTACAATACTGTACTAAAGTACATCCCATTCTTTCAAAAAAAAATTAAAGCGATAGTTACCACATCAGCAATTATTTTGTTAGTATCTAGAATTACATTTCAAAATATCATGAAAAAGCTGTCCTTGGAAGTATGTACCTGAGTTACATTAGTACGATCCAGACAATCGACACAATTTGTTCTAACGGTTCCGGTCTGCTCTTCCATTTTCTCACCTTTACTATTTAAAAGGAAGTACCTATGCCATACAATTAAAAAGACTATGAGAACAAAGAAATAATATGAGTTTGGATGAAAGGGATTCTTTTGGGACATTCCTTGGGTTTTAATCCAAATTCCTCACCAAATTTCAGCTAGGAGGTTTTATATAACATATGTGACCAAAAGTGTCAGATGCAGCTACCATTTTGCCATTTGTTTTCTTGTTGTGTGGGAAAGGTAGATGTGAAATGTTTTTTTTTTCTCGCCATGTAGAGATGGCAACATAAGAACATAGAAAAAGAAGCAAAATAGTTTGACTAATGTACGATAAATTTGCTTTCCCTTTGACAGGAACAGGGCCAAAACTAGGAAGCATATAGCAAAATATGTGTACGCTTTTCAATGCATGTATGCTAGTCCCTACTACCAATAATTATAAGTTATAATGAAAGAAATATTAAACGAAACAAGGGTTATTAAACGAAAGCACATTACTGCATATATGCTATAGTAGTTTGGCAAAAGAAGGAACTGAATAGTAAATCAGCTACATTATTCTCTACATGAAATGCACTGATTTTTCAAATAGAAAATGCAGATACTCACACTTGCAGAAATGTTAAACAGAGAAAAATTCTGTAGAAGAAAACTCATGCTAACATATACTCTACCAAATCAAATGGCATTTTTTGAATGTGTAAAATCAACCCCACAATCTTATAATAAATGCAAAGATATTAAGATTTGATATGTAAAATGTTATTAATATATTTCATTTTCATGCAATTATATTTCTAATTATTTTGATAAATATATAATTTGAGAAGGCGATGATCAAACATGTGCTTTAGAGACTGTCAATGTACCAATGTCATGTGAAGAGGTATTATACAAAAATTATAAATGATAAAACATGTAGTACTTTGTATCTTCTAGCAACATACCTATGCTTCTTAAGATAATCCTCAATTTGATCATACAGTTGAGAAAGGCGTTCAAAGTGAATATGACCACAGATTTGATGGAAGTCAAAATGCACAAATCTGCAATAATTAGGTTTAATGCAATTATAAACAGTAAACCACAATAGAATAACTCTAGAGTGGAGCAAAACTTACCTTATATCTTCACTCAAGATAGGCTCAATTGATTTTGCATATCTTTCATACAGGCGACCTTCGCCACCATGCTGAATATATTAACAAGGTATATGATAGGTGAAAAATATCACACAGGAGTAGAACAAACTAGTACCACCACCGCATATTACTAGCATGTTAAAAATAAGAAGAGGCAAAACTCCTAAACATTTAACTAATTCTAGAGCAAACAATTATCGTTATGTAATATAAGCTGAAATGAACTAGTTAATTCTATTTCAAGGAACAGAATATACAAAATCGGAGATAAAAATGCAATTTATGGAATGAACATGGGACACTATTCGTCAAAGTGAAGAACTCTTTTTTCTTTTTCTTTTTTTTATCTTGGTTATGGACATACTGAACTCAGTTGTGGCAGTCTGCGGATCATGGATATCTCCTGGAGCCTCTTGCTGTCACGCAAACAACACACCGGGTTTCTCTGTATGCGGCTGATGTGGTCATGTTCTTGTGTCCTACAAGTGGGGACCTATCTCTTATCAAGCAGATTTTGGAGTTTTTGGTCAGATTTCTGGACTAAGAACCAATATGATGAAGAGCTCTTGCATTCCTATTCACTGCTTGGAAGATGATCTGGAAGTGATTTCTAATGAGTTGTCTTGTAAAGTGATGAGCTTCCCTTGCTCTTATCTCGGACTTCCTCTTAGAATATGTAAACCAACCAAGACAGAATTGTTGCCCCTTGTGGACAAAGTGGCAGATAATTTACCATGTTGGAAAGCCTCTTTAATGAATAGGGCGTGCTGGCTTATAACAGTAATGGTGGTCCTCTCGGCTTTTATGCAATGATGGCGTTGGATCTCTAAGTGGGTGGTCAAGGCTATAGATAAAAGGCATCGCGGCTTCTTATGGAAGGGAAGAGAAAACACTAATGGAGAAAATTGTTTGATCTCTTTGGATCGTGTGTGTCGGCCTTTGTCCTATGGAGGCCTTGGTATCCTTAACCTAGAAAAGATGGGATGAGCATTATGCATGAGGTGGTTATGGCTTCAAAAAACTGATTTTGCTAGACCTTGGGCTAGTTTATCTTTTCATGTGCCTCAGAACGTCCATTCTCTTTTCAATGTGGCTGTCAAAACTATAATTGCGAATGAAGAAAATACCAAATTTTGGAGCGATAGGTAGCTGCAAGGGAAAACAATAGCAAAACTGGCCCCTAATCTCTTTGCCTTGATCTCTAAGAGGCAAGGAAGCAACGTACTGCGGCGCAGGCTTTGGAGAACAACAGATCGGTGGCTGACATACATGGGGAGCTATCTATTCAGGTTCTTTACGAGTACATGACCATTTGGGTTTTGGTATAAGAGGTGGTTCTGCTACAAGGTGTACAAGATCAACATGTTTGGAAGCTAACGGCTGATGGGATGTATTCTTGCAAATCTACCTATGAAGCTTATTTCCTGGGATCGATCAAGTTTGCTCCTTGGAATCACATTTGGAAGAGTTGGGCTCCTCTTCGCTGTAAGTTCTTCATCTGGTTGGCCGTCAATAATAGATGTTAGACAGCCAACCAACTTGCTAAGCGCGGATTGCAGTACCCCGCGGCATGTCCCCTTTGTGATTAAAGTGAAGAATCCGTCAAACACATTTTGATTTCTTGTGTCTTTTCTTGCCAAGTGTGGACGGCACTATTCTTGAAGCAAGGGATATCTGATGCAGTGCCTCAACCTTCAACTATTTGTTTTTTGAGGTAGTGGAGCCAAGCTACAAATGACTGTGTTTTCAATGGCGCCAATCCTAGAATTGCGGCGGTCTTGCAGGTGGTAGAGAATGAGGGTAACCTTTGGTGTTTAGCAGGGGCATTTGCCCTCCAAAAGTTTCTTAATGGAGCAGCAAACCTAGGCAGCTAGCGCTTGCCAGTATTGGCTGGGGTGTGTGGGTGTGTTTTTTCGGTGAGAGTACTCTGGTTCTCCTACTTTGTATTTTTGTTCTTTATTTTTCTTCCCCTTAATGAAATGAAACACATTTCTCTTGCTTTTTCGAGGAAAAAAATGAAGAACTCTCATTCTGGTCCTGCAATCAAGACAACCATATGACACAGCCTAGATGATTTGTAGGGGGGTGGGTTTGATGTTGCAACTGTGTGAAGTATCAAGATGAGGCCCTGGACCCTGTGGAATGGCTAAGGATCTATGATGTGGTTCCAGATGGCAAGGGATAGGTGAAACTGGTATTTCTTTCTTCAATCATGCGGCAGGACTTTCATAGATGAAGTTATCTAAAACCACTAACATCTAATGAAACAACAAAATGACTTATCCAGAGATATGCATAATTAAGACCAGTTTTATCTAAATATGCCAACAATTAGACTTCTGAAGACTGTGTAAAGTCTGACAAGCTGCCTTGAGGCCAGTCAACTTGCACACCAATGGTAGGGAATCCCAACATGACTGTTATACATGACAAACAGAATGAAGAGACTGGTTTGGGTCCAAGAATTCAATACTTACTGTATTGACAAGATCAACAGCCACGACAGCTCCATATTTCTTTTGTAAATCATGAAAATGCCGTTCAAGTACACGAGGCTGCAGAAATCAAATCCAAGAAAATTTATGACAAGAAAAGTATAAGCAATGGCTACATTGCAAATACTTAAGTTAGATCTTCATAATATGTACATGAACTGAAGGGGTAGAAATTAGTGGAGCAACAACGAGAAATTAGTAGAGCAACAACGATAAAAAGGAAAAAAAATCGTATGATGAGAGCACTCACCGCCTCCTCTACTCTGACAACATCAAAACTAGGTTTATATGTCAAATCAACAATTTGTTCCCACAAAAAAGGCATAGAACCTCGAACCTGCAATACACATCAATGTAACAAAGTTATCACAGAATATAAAAATAAACTGTAAGCCAAAATAAATATGAAAGGTGCTAGAAAAAAGTTGGGAAAACCTGCAAACTTTTAGTGTCATATTCACCGCTAGTATCAAGATACAAATAGGAAGACAAGAAATCTTTTAGCGTACATGAGCTGTGCATGATTGACTCTTTTTTCCTTTTCGATTGTTGATTCCAAAGATAAATTGGAAACAAAATATGAAGGTTAACATAACTTTATGTGTATGCAAATCATTATTTTTTCAAAAAAAGAAATGGGACATTGCATCATGTCAATTCCTCAAACGGGGACACTAGCTCCCCTATGTGTCATTCAATTGAGTGAAGAAACTTACTTGCACATATGATGCTGTAAATTCTTTCGATTGCATTATCTGCTCTGATTCAACAAAATTTGCAGCATAACCCTCTGGATCAGCTCCTCGCCTCCACATCCGGGTACCTTCAACAAAGAACAGCTCGTAAATTCCTAAACGATCATTGACATTCAGTTTCCAAAAATAGTAAAATAGCAAATGAATACAAATTTACCTTAGGTTCTAACTACGGTAACATTTAATGAAAAGAAAATGGCGAATAAGCTTTTGATGGTTCGTAACTCTTACCTATCCTACGTGTACACCGACGTGCAATCAGGGTCACATTTACCTTCTCTGACCCAACTTCTGCATGGATACTCTGAAAACCTGATATTTAGTTAAGTTGCAGAAGTTCAAATTGACATATGACCTTAACAGAAAGGTAACCTAAATATAAACTATCATAAGTCATCTAACATCTCAGGTAATAAGTTGAGATGTTACGATGAGGTGAAGGATACTTCCTTGAATGACTGGTAGTAAGTATTGGTGCAGCTGTTGAGGGACAAAAGGGAAATCAAAATTAATTGTAAATATTGGTCACACGATCCACAGTTAATAACAACACTAATCTTACTTTGTTCTCAATTAGAGGCTCCAACAAGTAACCGTTCCAAAGAAATCTTGGTTCTGCCTGCAAAAGGTATAATTAATTAATCTGGTGCAAAAGTAACCAGTAAAGCATCAAAAGACTTATTAACATGTCCAAAGTGTACTCATGTAGTTTATTAAACCATTTCATTTTCTGCAGAAAATTCCTCCTATGCCACTGAGCGTTCCTTCAATTCCTTATTATGCTCCTGCTTTTGCACTCACTTAACTGGTTATGTATGAAAATGGCACAAGAGAAATAAAATTTGCACTCAAATGACGTTCAAGAAATGGGAAGTATATAGTGGCAAATAAGGTGTTGAGGGGTTTATGGGATTTTCTCGCACTACATGCATAGGGTGGAGGAGGCAACTGTGTCTTCAAAGTAGTAGAAAAAAAATCATGCTCCTATCACTTTTACCACTACCATCAAACTCTATTAGTTGATTAAAGTTGTTTTGGATTACTACCCTACACTGTTTTGGTAGTGCTGAAACCTAGGCAAGTTTCAGTACTACCAATTATTTGGTAGGGTCCATAGGATTGTATTGATTTGGTTTGGTTTGATGCCAATTATGAGCCAATTCTTTGTAGGTTAAGACAGCTTTCGACTGCTGCCAATTTGGACATGGGCATTGCCAAAAATATGGCTCCAACCCAAATGCATCACAACTACTATTCAAGTGGCCAAAATATTGGAAGGGGTCTTGGTATCAAACCAAAACAGTCCTTAGTATTACTAAAAGTGTGGTCAATGACTTAATTGTAAAAAGGTAATAAAAATAAGCGGTGGATTGAAAAATTATTTGCATATGTTGTTACAACTCAATTTTTCATTTTGTTTACGGAACAGTTTTTTCAGTGAATACCATCAAACAAAGTTTTAAAAGATATTCACTGTGATTGCTAACCATGCTATGACATGTTTGTCTTTCATTTGTATGTCGTAGCTAGCGTTCATTTCTATTTCCGATTGTCTTTATGAAAAACAAGATGTCTTAATCATGACATGGGCTCCATCTGTGTGTTCTTTCCTTTTTTTGCACCACCTTTCTCACTGTCCCTCACAGAGTTATAACATTTAATAAGAAAGCGTAAAATAAGTCAATGAACATTTCACTGTCCAGGTCATTATAGAATACTTGCAAGTTTGGTACTGAGTGGCCAATGCGGTCTTGCAGGATGGTAACGTTGGAAGTTCACAAAGTCGGAATCGTACACGTGCAAACCAGCATATGAGTCCTTTGTTGGCACAATCAGATTCTCACTATGCAGAAGACTTTGGGAGAGCTAGGCGCCCTTGTGGTGCAAGTTTTTCTATGTCTTCCAATTAATAACCATTGCTGGACGGCTAATCGCCTTGCCAAGCGTGGACTGCCACATCCTGCTACTTGTATGCTTTCTGACCAGGCTGAGGAATCCATTAATCACATCCTAGTTACTTGTGTCTTTTCCCAACAAGTGTGGTCACTAATTCTCCAAAGGTTGGGGCTGATTTCCATTTCTCCAAGTCAAAATTCTACTTGCTTATGCTGTTGGTGGCCTAAGGCAGTGTAAGAGGCATTGATCAAAACTCCAAAAAAAAAGGGCTCAATACAGTTATCATTTTGGTGGCTTGGGAAATCTGGAAGCATAGGAACGACTGTTTGTTTAACGGCGTCAATCCTAATGTAATGTCTGTCATCCAAACGGTGGCAAATGAGTATGACCTATGGTGTATGGCCGGAGCTTCTAAGCTCACATATTTCCCTAGTAGGTCGCTAACCCCGTTTGGGTAAGGTTGTTTTTGTTCCTTTTCATATGTAACCTCAGGTCCTGTTTGTTTGTAGGGTGAGGGAGGGTTTTTCTTCCCTCCTCGTTTTTTTTTCCTGTCTTAATGAAATGATACGTATTTCTCTTGCATATTCAAGAAAAAAAAGGTCAATGAACCTTAAAAGAATCCAAAGGATAAGCTTGAAGATTTTGCAGGATGCTAGTAGAATCATTACCAATGGGCACAGTGTTAGCAATATTCTAAAATACGGTGCAAATGTCATCACGGAAAAATCAAAATGTAACATCAGCTTTTGCTAATTTCTCCCACCACATCCTTCTTAAGAAATCAGGACAAGGAAATAAAAGCAAACATACTATATTGTACATCTAGAAAATATTTTTAAACTGAAGCACATGAATATTTTATTCTAGGTACGCTATGGACTTCTGCTTGCTTCTTGGACCTGTTCATTGAACTGAGAATCTTCCATTTGACAGTCTATTTAAAACTAGAAACTATAATTTACAAATTAAGTAAGAATCTATTGTGTGACATGTTCCGATATAGCTTTCATGCATTTGGTTCATTTCGCTTGGATTTGTATGATAGCTATTTTCTCAGGAAGGAATATGCTAACTAGGAGTGTGTGGTATTATAAATTGAGTTTCTTAAATGGAAAATCACATCGTTACAATTTTGTCACACGTGACTTCTCATGAAAAAATATTAACCACAAATTGAGCATCAAAAATTTTTAGCTGCAACTACAAATATCGGCCATTCAACATGGCTTTTGTCACAAGGAAGAGACCATTCAACATTTGTTTTTTCAATGTCGTGTTTCTCGCTTGGTATGGTCTGTTGTTCATATGGCTTCGAACATACAACCTCCTCAAAATATTACTCACTTGTTTGGGCGTTGGCTTACTTGTGTTCCTAAAGACATGAGAAATCTGCTTTTGATGGGTGCAGCATCTCTTTGTTGGTCCATATGGCTAAGCAGAAACGAGGTAATTTTTGATAACAAGGTGGTGTCTTCTCCTTTGCAGGTTACTACTTTAGTCACCCGGTGGCTACGCTCCTGGGCCATCCTCCACAAACAGGGACTTCGGGATACTATTGCGGTGGTATCGCAACGTTTGGATTAGGTGGCACAGGAGTTTTTTACCCAGGAGCATGGGTGGCGATCTAGTCTACGGATTGATAGCCACTAGTTTCTATGTTTTGTGATGGGGAAGTGTTCTTAGGTCCAGTTTTTTGGTTGTGTGCATTCTATGCAGAGGCCGGGGGTGGACTCAGTTGGAATGTATCATCTTGGTGTATTTAACTGAGTCTTAATAAAGCTTCCATTATCTAAAAAACAAATATCGGCCAAATGAAACACATTGCATTTAGAAAATTTTAACTTCAATTCCATCTTTCTACATCACAAGTGTAATCCACTGATCTAATAAGTAATAACCAAATATACAATTAGGTTCCATAATAAGGAAAGCGGTATAAATCATGTGAAGATGTTGAGGACAAGCTATAGAAGCTTGCAGATTATATAAGAAAGGATAAAAAAGATCAGGAATTTCATGCACAAGCAAACCACGGAATTATGTAAGGAGCTAGGCAACAAACCTGTCTCCAAAGTGGAAGTGACTTAAACTGATCTCCTAGATCATGCAGCCTCTGTGAACTACAACATATAAGGGGCAGAGATAAATGCTTAACCAACTTAAAACGAAAGAAGAGGAAGATAACAAAAAAAAAAGAAAGATGGAACCCCCTCTATACACTTCAGGCAAATGTTTGCAAGAAAAAAAAAGGCATAATATTCATTGAGGTACCCACGTTAGTGTTAAGTTGACATCATAGGAGAAGTACAGGCCTATAGTCCTCTCTGCTGCATCCAGAAGTTCCGAAAATTCTGATTCCATTTTCTTCTGCAAGAGCTTTATGGAATGACTAATGGAATATGGATGGAAAGAAATTGTAAATAAGGCCCAAATAATCACTTCCAAACCTGCTCAGCAGAAGAAGTATTTAACGAGTTATTGCATGGCAGAACTTTTAGTCCCGTCAATTTGAAAATTGCATGCCCCAAGTAGGATCCAACACAATCACGGCCAGTGATCACAAGAAAGTACGACCGAACTGCAAGTTTGAGCACTCCAATCACACCAAAAACTATTCTAACTTTAGGATTTGTAGAGGGACCACGAGGTGGCAACTCTTCCACTAGACTCATTGATCCATTTGTCCGATCAACTGACAGGAACAAATCAGCAAGACCGTCAACTGGTTCAAATACGTAACGGTCTGCAAACTCCCACAGCCTTAGTCTTGTGTGTAGCTTTGGTGAAGGGCATGCTTCAGTTGCAACACTCATCGTGTGATGCCCTGATAGAGGAATACATGAGTAAATGTTAAATCATCAGAATGATAAATATGGGCCACAGATATAACCAGTCAAGACATGTGATGCCCATAATATACTGGAACAATAGTAACAGATGAATACCTGAATAATGTTATCGTGCTCTTAAAATAACCAATAACAGTACAAGTGTCAGGATTTTCCTAGTAAGGATAAGCCTATTGTAATCATAGAATACAAACACATGCACATTAAACTAACATCCTTAAAAAACTAATTGGGATTTGTGGGCCATGGAACCAACATCCTTCAGCATCTAGAACTGTTAGATAGCCATGGTCCGATGATCATATCATATCGCATATAGCAAGACAAAAAGAGCATATGAGACAAGAAGCCAAACAAGTATGACGAAAAGGGCCAGGGAAGGTACCCTGCCATGTATCCTTTTTATCACAATAGATAGATAGGGAAATCAAACCGGATAACTATAAATGTCAAATAAACAAGAAAGCTATTACATAAGAATGCACAGATAATATAATGTGAAAAGAAAATCCATAACCTGATTTTAATACTCATCACATGATCCTGACCTTGCATCATAAAAAATGTACACAGTTTTCTATCAATCATGCCAACAGTGCCTAGGACTCACATTTTCTTTTTTTCTACAAAATGCTATTCCATGATTTCATATAATTATGCACTGACAAGTCAATATTCATACCCTAAAATTAAAATGCAAAACGCTCCTCACACACCCGCACCACGACGCAAAACCGAGAAATTTTGGCAAGCAGTACGTTCAGCGCCTCAAGATCGATCCATCACGGTCTCACTGTCAAATCATGCGCCCCAAAATTTTGTATAAACAATTCAAAATTGCCGTAGGAAACGAAGCACACAAAGAGGGATTAGATCCTGACGCACCTAGCACTCCGGCAGCGGTAGGGGTCGGAGGAGAGTGGAATGGATACGGACCAGCGGCGGTTGGGGATCGGAAGAGGGTGGAATGAATGGATTGGAGAAGGGGAATCGCCTCGGAGAAGTGGAGAAGGGGATGGAACTAGCGGTAGTGAGATGAACGCGGGAGAGGGAAGGGCCACACTAGAAGCGGGGCGATGGTGGCCATTTTTGGTGGGTAGCAACAATGTCGGAGGCCTGGCTGATAAAATCCTCACGTTCTAGTACTTTTCCTTTTTTTTTTTGATTATTTTTCTTATGGATGCGACTACAGGGAGCGCATGCACTCGGTTGTGCTAACCAGCGACCATGCTTTTTACCAAAAATAGTGCAGTGTGTAATCAACTTGTTACCCTTCTTACTAAAAGTAGTAGCACCTGCCACTTGCATCCTCATTACCCATCTAAATTTCAAATAATTTTTTCTCTTAAATTACTTATCTGATCTACGACCCGATTACATCGTTTCGTTGCAATTATATCTGTACATCAAGATCTTACATGATTATATTATGATGAAAAAAATATTTATGCTTGTAAATCACTTTAATTATATACTAAGTTACTTTTATCATATATATATATATAAGAGTTGGATTTTTTGCACGCAAGTTCACATGTACCCACAAGGCTAGTATATTAGGTGCTAACAAAATGTAACATACATGTTATACTATATTTTTTACAAGTGTAAAATACCTTGTTTATATAATTTTTGTATTTCTTATGCAAAACTTGTTTATGTAGTTTACCTTGTTTATATAAATTATCTTGTTTATGTAGTTTTTGATGGTAGGATATATATCATTTTGGAAATATCATTTTTGCAAGATGACAATTTGGTGATATAGTAGATATATTGTTTTCTCATTTTGACTAAATATCATGTTATAAACAAAATAAGGGTTAGAAAAATACAATGCACTAGATATATAAATGTTATATATGATTATTATTGAAAAATTTATTTGGTAAAAAATGCAACATACATGTTATACATATAGTGAACCAACCTAATCCTAATTATCTTTTCTCCCTATAGTAAGCATTCATTTCGTTAAGGTTAGCTACATTTTGCAGCAGGAATCTTGGAACACATCAACAGTGTAGATTGTAGGTACATATGAACCCGAGTGCGAATCTGCATTATACACACACACACAAGCAAAATGCCCATGCGTTGCATTGGGTGAAGCAAAAAAAAGAAAAAGTAGTAATGGGTGTGTGGGAGGAGTGTAAAGCCACCAAGGTTAATTGAGCTCCTCATAGTCAAATCGAATATTCCCGGTGCAAGAATGCTCTAAATCCACTTACATGGATTATTATAAGAAATCAATTAATACCACTATAAAATCTCTATAATATAAAAAAATAAATTTTTTTGCCGGTACTTTAGTACGTCATCCGTGTATGAGTCGGTTTTTAACTTCGTTTACTTTTGGAAATACATTTTCGTATTTGAGTTAGTTTTTAAGTTTGTTCGTTTTTGGAAACATAGAAGGAGTCGTATAAGAAATCTCTTTAAAAAAACTCGCATGCTAGCTTGAGATGATCGGACTCCTAATTGCAGCTTATGACTTTCTAAAAATATATATATCTAAGCAAATTTAAATAGTGAATTTCACATTAATTAAACAGTATAACAATAATAAGATTAAAATAACTCTCATCCATTGCAATGCACGGGGATTTTTATAGTGAATACTAAAATTTGAAACCATAAAAAGTATTTATTTTTATCATGAGTCAGTTGCAATGTACGGTTATTTTTTTGTCATTGATATTGATAAACACTTTTTTATATCATAAAGAGTACCCATAGTAGAAGAAATATTTTTAGCTAGCTATCAGATCAAGCTCACTGCACTCCAGTAGCAGAATCGTTTTCACTAAAAAAAAACAGAAGGAAATCGTACGATAAATAGAAAAAAAAAGTGACGTGGTTAGGTGTCCTACGGCGAATGAGAAATTGACGCGGAAAACAATCTTGATGCAAACACAATTAATTTTGTTGGTGATTACGTGTTTTTCTTGAAAAAAAAAGCATGCGATTGTTTTTTATATTTTAAAAAGTAAATCATTTTGTTGGTGATTACGTTGTTTTTTATTTTATTTTTAAATAGTAAAATAGCATCTATTTTTATCTGATCTCTGGTACACGTGAGTCCAAACTTTATAATTCAGTGTTTATAACGACGTGCAAGCCTCATATTTAAGCAGGTGCTTGAGTGCTTCTCAAGCTGTGGGGAAGTTATTCGTGTTACAGTACCACGATGCTACAGTCTCGGTTGCTACAGTACCGTGCAGTACTGTGCTGGCTGGTGCTCCTCTGTTATGTGGGCTGGCTGTTGGGTTGAGACTGCTGGGCCGGCCTTATACTGCTTTGGTTGGGCTGCTTGCTAGCTTTCTGTTTTTTCTTTTCTCTTTTATTTGTGGGTGTAAGAGATCTCCATCACGCTTACGGATTGTGGATTAGCGACAAAATATTGTGTGGGCCCATGCTTAACGACGGACGAATGATTAACCGGAAGCTTTACTTATTTTTTTAATTAGGTACTGCGGACTCTAATATGTCGTGTTTTGTTGATGACGAAAAAAAAAGATGTTTAATTTTCAAATTAAAATTGATTCATTATAAGATTTCTGAATCATAAAATATCTGTTGAAGAAAGCGGTGTTAAACGTTTGATTTTTCAGTGCATGGTCCGTGCTAGTGGCAGAGAGAAAAAAATTGGGATTAAATAGAATTTGAGATGTGAGAGGCAAAATAGACTTATTCTGAGTAATAATTAGTGTTCAATTTTTTTAAACGGTAGTGCAGCATATGAGAGGCCGGCCCGTACTCAGTGCAAAAGGTTAGGCATATGAGAGGCCGGCCCATACTCAGTGCAACGGTAGTGCAGCATATGAGAGGCCAGCCCATACTCAGTGAAAAAGGTTAGGCATAGGAATAAGTTTACCGGAGGTCCCTCAACTTAACAGCGAGATTTTCTGAGGTCCCTTAACCACAAAACCAGAAATCTCCACCCCTAAACTATACAAAACCGTTCACTCAAGCTCCCTAGGCAGTATATATGGGTGGTTTCGCTGACGTGGCATCCTAGTCAGCAAAAATAATTAAAAAAATACGTGGGGCCCACATGTCAGCCCTGCATATTTTTTTTGGCAAAATTTGCTACAGGACATCTAAAAAACGTGTAATTAGTTAGAAGATACCGCAAGAATGTTTATTTGTTGTAGGGCATTGTAAAAAACTGGTAATTAGCTGATGGG